CTGTGTGTGTGTGTGTGTGTGTGTGTGTGTGTGTGTGTGTGTGTGTGTGTGTGTATATATATATAGAGTGTATATATAGGAAAAAATTTTTGTATATAAGTTTAAAACTTTTGTATATTTTGCAAATTATAATAAGTTCGTTATTTAAGAAATTGTGTCAATACACGAACAATTTACGTCACTACTTAGAGAGTGTTTTTACGATGGAATTCCAAAAATAAAAGTAGCTCAGTGGTATTTCGTTTGTAATCTTTGGTATCTGATCGTGCGGGAGGCATGTTACCCCTGCAAGCCAGTACTACATCTACCCCTTGGTATTCGCCATCTCGACATACGGCAGCGACGTCTGTTCCTCGAATCACGCGCGGTCCGTACAAATTCCCGCAAATTACACGCAAGCTGCACGTCAGTGGCTTTCGCAAAGAAATCCGTTAACTAGCTAAATAATTACGTCGTTTTCTGAAGATAAAAACTAATCTTGCCAGAATCGACATTATCCTATACTTTATTCTTACATCTTTGTATATTTTCAAATCTAAATAATAATTAATAAATGCATTACAAATACCGTTTATTCTAATTTTATATTCTAGGAAGTGAAAAATAATGTTATTACCTGCTAGTAAATTTTAATTTATAAGATATAAACGTATATTACTTATATAACACAATTACTTGAAAGTAAAATTTTAATATCATTTAAGAGACAAAAAAGTCTCAGTTAGAAAAACTTTGTTAATTTTATAATTACCGATCTTTATGCTATTAAAAATAAATATATTAAAAGTAATATATTGGACATATATCAATTGTTAAAGAAGCATTATGTATTTTATAATGTTTGACATGTATTCGATGAAGCGTTTCAAACGAATCCGCTGAAAATGAGCACATTAATAATATTACAAAATATATTAATGCGTGCCTGTACGTGTGAAACGTTTTACAACTAAACGTATTCCTGATGAGAATGACATGCATGGAATATAGAGCGTAACGTCATTGGTTTCCCTCGTGTATTGCTCGCGTGCGGTTATACAAATATGGACGAACGCACTCCAAATTAAGGTTTAGAGTTGGTACAAATCAGTATCGAAGTTATGGACGTGCCGAGCTGGTAAATCTAAATCCCTCGCGATTGTCTGTCAATTATTTATGATTGGCGGCAATTTGTCCAATCGAGAATAAGCCCTTTCCTGCTGGATAGGGTTTACCGACTGCCATTCAATGTTTCGGACTGTATTATCTGTTTCTCTTTACCTGTGTTCTTCTCGTTCGCGTAATGCACAGACACGTGTTTATAAAAAAATCGAATGGGAAATAATTAAAAATTTCCTTAAAATTTACATTTTCTCAGCATTCGCCAGCATGCACCAAATAGAAACGTTATCGCGGACAAACTGCGCAATTGGTGTGAAGCATAGTTTTGATAACAAATGTTACGTTATACTGAATTTTCAATCGGGGTCACGGAATTTCCATATAAATTGTATTTTTGCACAGAATATAAATGTGCACTGCAAACCCAATTAATTAATTCTGACAATCATTCCGATCCTCTTCATCGCGAAACAACATATCAGGTGCAGCGACATTTCAATAGACATTACGTTATTGCAAAAGGTACAAAGGTAACAGCGCACCAAGGATGATGTCGACGCTATTTCCAGCCAGCCAATTCAAAAAGTTAAAACAAAACCGCTAAACTTCTAGTACTTTAGCTCTGAAAAAGAAACCAGACTTTTCTTCCAGCTTCATTCCAAACTACGATAGGCAACCGCATAAAAAGCTATTCGCGTGACTTGTATCGTAGTTTTTATTTCAACCTTCTTAAAATGACGTAATTCCGATATCGCATTTTCATTTGTATTTATTCTATAGATACGTACGATAATTAATCAAAAATAATAACTGAGTTAACAAAATATTTCCGATTGGTGAAATCGCAAGTTCATATACTGATTGAAATAACGCCAATCTCGTATGCCGAGTCTTGAATGAAAGCGCGTCGCGCGATGTTAATTAAGCGAAACGAGGAAATTAATGACGACTAACTTTCGGCGCGTTGAATTACATGCTCCCTCCCGACCTCGCTCGTAATCATCGTGACGATCGAACCCTTTTTTGTATCCGTCGAAATTTATTTGCGTGATGTTTCTCTAACAAGCCGTTGCGTGACATACGGTTTTACAGGATTCAATAGAAGACCGGTCGAGTTTTTGTCCCTGCGTAACGTTCATTTATGTGCGACTCTCTTTTTCTGACTACTTACTTAACTAAGTTTACGTAAAAAACTAACGTCGCGTGCGACTGCGGCGAGTTTTCTGACAATCGCGAACACACACACACACACACACACACACACACACACACACATGTCTACGTGACGGACGGGTAAAAGTTTGCCGTACCGACAAA